TGGTTATTGTTTTCTTTTATACTCTGCTCCAGTTTTATACAATCCTTAGAAAGTGCTTCTAATAAATCACTTTTAAAATTGTTCTTTTCTTTTGAGTATATTTCATCAACTTTTATTTCTTCATTACTTTCAATTAATTTTAGGTTTGGAGGTAGTAAATCAAATGGATCACAAAAACCAGATAAGTTATTAAATGAGTAATAGTTTGGTTCTTCAAACGAACTTAATTGGTACAAAAACAATTTGTGGATTGAGTTGTAGAATTTGATAAAATAAATATATTGGTTTTCTATTGCAACATTAGAAAAAAGTGCTAAACTATTGAATGAAAGGCATTTTTTCTTAATGAGATGATAGTCTTGATTCTTACCATGATAATAATTGTTGCATTTTGTCAGTTGTGTCAACTCAAAAAATGCATCAGATAATCCTTTAAAAACATACATCACAACGCACAAGTCAAGCCCACACTGTTCACATATATTAAAAAGGTTTGTTAATAAACTTGCCCTAAAATCAATACCAACTAATCTGTTTTGGAATAAAAATACCATGTCATAGATTTGATTACCTAATTGATGTTTATGCCCGCACGGACATTGTCCATCAACTTTAATTATTGTAGAAGCAACTTGAGGGTCATTACTCTCAAATCGAAATGATTGAGTTGGGATCTCAAAAACTCTAGATTCACAAGAGGCTATAAAACGTTGAATGATTTTTTTTAGAATGATTTGGTCGGTAAGGAGGTGGACAACATTACTCTGTTCAGACAAAAGATATGATAAAATGAATGGACACGTTTTTTCAGGAAACCATTTCTTTTGTTCTTTTATGAAATTAATTGAAAAGTCATAAGATGTTCCAGTTGTACAAGAAAGTTCCCATTTTGTTGTATTTAATGTAAGTAAAACTAGTTCAGCACCAATTTTATTAATTGTATATATTTCAGCAGGTCCATTTCTGTCATTATGTATCGACCTCCCACATGGACACCTCACAGATACTAAATTTCTTAATGGAATATAATCTTCCATTTCCTCTTTTTCTTTTCAACAAATTTTTAAGTTCTAACAGATAAGTCAATTTTAAAACTCATCAATATTTAATTCGTTATATATAACAATATATAAATATTTTAGGAATATCAAAAAATATTAAGATCTCTGTAAATTTGAGATTAAAATAAAAGAGAAAAAAGAAGGAAAAATGAACTTAAAGGAATAAATGAAAAGGTTTGTTCAACAAAGCCGACCATTTTATTCTGAGAAGATTGAAGAAGAAGAATTGTATTGGAAGCGATATGAAAGTGGATTTCGTGAAATTCGAAAATGTTTAGAAGTGATAATATTTCATTTAAATTCCATTAAATCTCTTATCTACCTCGATGACTTTTCATTGTAAAAAAGATAAAGGATATATTGAAGAATATCAACGATGCTTAAATGAAACTCTTAAGAACATTCAAGTTTTCTCTGATTCACTTCAACCAATTATTATAAAAACGTCAAGTATCTCTGATCAATTTAACGCACTTAGAAAAGAATTAAAAGAAGATAAAAAAGATTATAATCATCAATTAGGAATATTGTATATATATCATATTAAATTTAACATAGAAGGTTTTAAAATAATAAAACAAATCTCTGAAGCAAGTTTTAATTTATTTAAAAATGGAGGGACAATATGGGGTAATATAAATATTAATAAACTTGTGCGATGCAGTGAAAGAGAAATTGTTCAATATAATATGATCAAAGACAAACAGTTTATTGAATATTATGGAAATTCATTAGATATAATTCTTCAACAAGAAAAAAGAACAAGTAAACAATTACCAGAAATGATAGAAGTAATGATACTTCTTATTCTTGAAACTGGAATGGATTTTAAAGGAATCTTTAGATTCTCTCCTTATGCTAATTTAAAAGAAATAGAAGAAGGGACAAGAAGGATATCAGTAACTGATATATCTGAATATAGTGTTGATATTATTGCTTGTTTATTAAAATGTTTTCTTCAAAAAATGCCAACACATATTATTGACACTATGAAATCATTAGAAATGATTTCTATTTTTTTAAAGAATAAAACAGAATCAATTGAATTGAAAAGAAAATTATATAAGAAAATAATATTTAGTCTACCTGATGCAAATATTACTTTATTAATGAATTTGTGTTACTTGTGTAACGAAATTAATAAAAAGAAAGAGTTAAATGGTATGAGTTCAAAAAATTTAGGTGTTGTTCTTGCTCCAAGTATTTTAACATTACCTGATCCAGAATTTCTTGCAAATTCAAATATTGATCCAAATACTGGAAAAGAAGTTGGATATGGAATTGATATTTTAACTTTTCTTATTGATGAATATCCAATGATATTTAAAGAGGAATTAGAAAAACATGAAAGGGAATTAGTTACTCTTGGTAGTATTCAAATACAAAGAAGCCAAAGTCCTAGTTTATCTTTTAAGAATAAAAAAATTTATGAAAAGAAAATAAGTGACAAAGCAATCCCGAGTATTAAACATTCAGAAATTAAAGAAATTCATGATAATCAGAATGAAAAGGTAGATGAAAGTAGTGATGAATTACCAGTTGTTACAACAGCCACATCAATTAACTTTGGGAAGTCTCAAAGAAATAATATTATTACAAGGATGGATAATCCAGATGAAATTAAATTTGGTAAATTTACTCCTGGTTTAGATTCATCATCTCAACATATTTCTTCAAAAGAAAAAAGAGTTATTTTAAGAAGTGATCGTGCACATGAATGTATTAAAGTATTAGACCAAATGAAACAAGAGAATATATTTAATAATAATGCTTTTGAACAATCTGATGAAGATGGAGAAAAAGGTAATGTCATGAAACTTAGAAGTTCATTTACAGAAAAAAGATCAAAATCTTTTAATCCAATGACAAATAAATTAGGTTTAAGTGAAGTTTCATTAAAAACAAACCAAAACTCTAATGAAAACGATACTAAATTAGAAGATAAATCAGAGCAAATTTATAGCAATAACATATCAGAAGTTTAACCCCTTTTCTTTAAATTTTAATTTATACTGTTATTAACTTCTGTATGTAAAAATATGAAATTCTTCATATTTTTATTTAACTATATCGGAATTATGAACTTAATCAAAGACTAGACTATCTTTGACTTCATCAAATTTCATTGTTTTATCTACCAGAACTTGTAACCATTACCTTAGAAAAGGGTTGGTGGCTAGTTCTGGGGTTTTCGTTATAGTAATAATTCATTTGTGTTAAAGTTTAAAAATGGAATATGACGTGGATCGTATAGTTTTTTTAATAATTTTTATTATATACGTTATTTTAAAAAAAATGAATAAAAAAAAATTTAATTAATTTATTTGTAAATAATTAATTGAATAGTTTTTACAGAATTATTGAGATGAAGTTAATTTGAAATATGTTCTAATTAGAATCAATCATTATTATTTTTTAGTCAAACTAAAATTTTTATTCAGATGGTTAAAGATAATTATTAACTTATCAACAAAAAAGTCGTTTGTTATGCTTTAGAAATTTTTGTTGTTAGTATTAAGTTGCATTATTTATTCTTTATTTTTGAATACTTAATAAAATTAATTATTTATTAAGCTTCTATTTCTAGAAATTAGATTCTACAATAGAAAAAAATACTACAATAAACTGTTATATACTTTATTTTAATCTTTATTTAATAGAGTATTAAAATATTCAAATAAATTTACAATTCATCATCAACTCTTTTATATGAATCATTGACAATACTTTAATATTCGTTATTAGTTCTACTAATATATTCTATTTTCATTAATTTTATTATAAATTCATTTGACTCTTCTCTATTCTTTCTTGTGATTTTATTTACTATAAAATATTAATGAAGTGTATTCAAATTCAATTAATTTAATTTTTTAAATGATCTTTTTGGCTAATTATTTGTTGAAATTATAGAGGAACTTTTAGTCTAGTAGACTTTCTTCATTTCAATTATTCATATATAATGTTTTCTTTTCAAGTTAAAAATGAAAATTGGTTAATACAATAAACACAAGTTAATAAAAATAATCTTCTTTCCCATTACTCTAAGTTTATTTAAAAATATATCAAGAATTGACAACCAACTGAAATAAAGTGTTGTTAGAGTAAGTAAATTTCAAGATGGGTAAATAATAAGGAATGAAGGATCAATATAATTGAATGATAAATTAAGAGCAATAAAAAGAATAATACAAAAACAATAAAACAAATATAAAAATACTAATTTAAATTAAAAAAAGAATGCAAAACGTTATATATAACTTAAATAAAAACAAAGAAGAAAAAAACTAAAAAAAAACTTCAAATTAATTTGTAATAAAAAACAATGAAATACCAAGCACATTCACAGTCAACAACATCAATCCATTTTCTCAACAAAGACCAAGGAATTGTCAGTACATGTTTGTGGATATTTTTTAAATGAAGAATTATTAATTTTATTAAATAATAACTAAATGAAATTAGCTGCTGATGGAACTCTTGTGATTCGTGATTTAATAAAAAATGAAAATAAAGGAAAATTTGTTGCTCAAAAAGGAGGAATTAATGACAGTAGTGTGTTGGATGAAACAACTATATTTGTTGTTGGGGAAGATGATAGTTTATGGCAAGTAGATACAAGAGCTCCTTCATTAATAAAGAAAATACAAATTAATCCAAATTCATCTCATCTCTGTGTTTCATGTTCTAGTTGTAAACGTGTAGCAGTTTCAACAAACAATTTAATTAATTTATACGATCCGACAGCTGATAAAATAATTAATATTAATCAACCCGTTCACTCAAACACTATTACTTCATTATGTTTTAGTGGTGTTTTATTACAAAGTTCTTCACTTGATGGTACAATAGTTCGTACCTTTGAAGATTCTATAAAAACTCGTCTTCCAGTCTCTTATTCACCAGTGTTTGTTAAAATTATTATAAAATATAATATAAAATATTATTAATAAATAGTTTGTATTCAGATTTCCCTCATTGGGATATCTCCATTGGTGGATTTGCTGATGGAAATATTGTATTATATAAAATGAATAATATCATTCAAACATGGAAAGGTTATCAGCCTAATGGAAGAATAGTTCCAATTAAACCATTTGATAAAGACTTTCAAAAATTTGTTTCTGGAAGTGATGATGGAACAATTAAAATATATTCTGTTGGAAATGAAGAACCACAACAAATTCAAAAAGAGTTAACAGGTTCAATAACATCAATAGATTGTAATGACACTCATATTGTTATTGGAGGAGTTGATCCATTTATATCTTTTATACCAAAATCTTCTTTAAATTGAATAAATGATTAAATTATAATCAATTTTTCTTTTGTTCATTCCAAATCATTATTTTTAATACTCTATCATTATGAACTGCAAAAAGAGTGTGAGGTATTTCTGTTAAAGAGTATAAACAGTAGTCTTTATCATAACTTTCATTTTCTTTCTCTTCAACACATTCTCTATCTTTTTGAATAGTTCCCCACTAAAAATAAGTCAATACCTTTTTTGATAATTTCATCATTGGAAGAAAATAAAAACAAACGCTATCACTAAATTGAAATTTATTCTTTTCTTCTTCAAATTTCCAATGACATTGTGCATATTTAAGAAATTGTTTGTCAGTTTGATCATTTGTATGAAGAACAATTCCAATAATAATAAAAGAAATATTACATAAAATATCAATTCCAAAGTCATAAAAAGAACAAACAATAATACCATTACTAACGTTAATAGAATCTGGTTCTTTATTAAATATCACTTTAATTTCATCAGCACTTTTTCCTAAAAAAAGTTCTTTAGATCCATCGCAACCTAAAGAATCAATACAAAATAATAATTTATTATCTTTCTATTAATAAATAAAAGTCATTTTAATTTGTTGAAGAAAAAATAATAAACACAAACAACTTGTACATCTCTTAGACTTCTATATTTTTCTTTTAAATCACATTTCATTTTTTCATTGTTTGAATAACACTTAATAAAAGTTAAAGTTGGTCCATTATATTCTACTTGAATATGTTTATAATTCTTAATATCAAACTTAATATCTTCATTAATTCCATAATTGTTATTTAAATAATACTTCCCATCTTTTTTAAAAATTGATGGGTATTTAATTTCTATCCCTGTTATTGCTTGTTGCTCATCAAAGAAAATACCCATTTCCATTTTACTCCAACTATATATTTTACACATCTCTTTATTCTTTTTATATCTTACTTGACTTTCTTCTTTTTTTTCTTCTGTTAATTGAGTGTCTTGAATATCTTTATTCTTTTCTTCGGTTACTTGACGTTCTACACTCTTTTCAAGTATTGGTTGACTATCTGCATTCTTTAATATTGGTTTAATTAATTGAACAAAATTATATAATGGCATTCCAATTTCTGCTCCTGCTATAATAGCATCTTCAAAATTAACTTCAACACCTTCCATATTCATTATTCTTATTTTATTCTTTTTTGAGTTGAATTATAAATACAATATTTTTTAATAAAAATCTTAATAAATATAACACAAAAAAAATATTTATTTTAGTAAAGTTTGACTATTTATTTAATAAAGTATGAAACACACAACAAATGTCTTTAAACATTGAACACCCAAAATGTGTTTGAAACAAAATTTGGTGACACCCATCTTTTTTTGAATAAATGACTTCAAATGGAACTCTGTCTTTTCCATTAATCGTAGAAAATGTCCATTCTTTAATTCTCAACTCATCACAAATTTGATTAATTTTTAATTTTATTTCATTCTCATTATCATAATTTTCACAAACAACTTCTCTTGTAGTACCTCTAGTTATTTTGTCATTTGGAATAATATTATCTGAAGTTGGAATAGCAAGTAATATATCTTCTGATTCAATTTTAGAAGTATCTATTTCTTTTGGTGAATTAAAAAATTGATTTTCTAATAACCGATAGATTTCTTTTACTGTGTTAGAACCAGGTGATGCTAAATAATCTCTAATTGATAATTCACTAATATTGGGTAATATATAACAAATTATTTCTAATAATTCTTGTTGAGGAAATGATATAACTGGACCACTGTACATAGCTATCGGTGTTTCTTTTGTATTGTCTAATGCAACTTTAACAAAAGGATGTTTCATAACTTGTTGTAATGTAATTCGTTTTGAAGGATCTCTTTGAAGCATTTTTGATAAAAGATCACCTGATCCATGGTTATCAGGAAAATTTATTTCTATGCCATCAGAAAAACAAGGATGACTTCCATATAACATTACATGTAATAATTCTCCACATGAATAAACATCTGCTAAGAATGGATCATAAGTATTTCCACTATTCACTTCTGGAGCAACATAATCTGGTGTACCAACACGCTCTTTTAATTTTTCATTTAATGAAAAGAATGAATAACCAAAGTCAACAAGTTTGATATTAGTATGACCTGAATCTAATAAAATATTTTCTGGTTTAATATCACGATGACTGTTCAGATAAATCATAACCTTATCAATTTTTTATGAAAAGACAAGTTAAATAAAACAAACCAAATTCCTTTAGAATGTAAATATGATAAACATCTTAATACTTGACAAAATAGTTTAATAGAAGTTGTTATATCTAACGCTTTTTGTGTAAGAATTAAATAATATAATTCTCCACCTTCCATATAATCTAAAACAATAAATAAATGAGTAGAATTTTCATATACTTTATGGAGTTGTACTATATATGAACTTCTTATTATTTTCATAAAAATAATCTCACGGTCAATTTGTGGTTTCTTTTGTTTATATGTGCTTTTTTTAATGATTTTAATCGCATATTTCATTCCTGTTATCATATGAATTCCTAAAAACACAACAGCAGTTGAACCATGTCCTAATTCCTTTCCAATAATGTAATCTCCTATTTTATATATTGTTAAATCATTATGTTCTTCCATTTCTTTCTATTATTTTTGATTTTTTTTGTTTATTTTCAGTTTTTTTAACTATATTTTAAAAAATGTTATATTTTTAATTAATTTTAATTAACAAAAAAATATTTTTTGTTATAAAAATCAATTAAATTCCAATGAAGACTCCAAAATTAGATGAAGAAAATCATTAAGAAGATGAATAAAACCATAACAACTCCTGTTGTTTTGTTATCATCAGGACCATTGGATGGATCACCAGATGAAGGAACAATGGTACAACCAATTGGATCTTCATTATCATCACCTGCACCATCTTCAGGGTTATATTCAGCAATATCACCATCCCCTAATTCCATTTCAACATATAAATTATTTTGAAGTGAATTACCATTCCTAAATACATCAACACCATTAATACCACAAAGAGTATTCCAATCAATTTTGAAATGTCCATTTTCAATTCCCCAATCATTTCCCCAAGAGTTCCTTACCCAAAGGAATTTATGTCCATCACATTCTCCATAACCATCAACAGTAATAACGTGATCAGTAATTTGTCCAGTACAACTTTCAGACTTATAAATACCACCTTCATATCTATATAACGAACTAGTAACTTTCATTGCACTAATAAATCCATGATATTTATAAATAATTTCTTTTATTTCTTCCCAATTTTTATTGTCAAAGTGAGTAAATTTATTTTCAGTAGCAAATTTTAATGGATATTCAACTTCTAATGATTTACATTCATGTTTAAACTTCTCACAATCTTCAGGATCTTCACAATCTTTATCAGCATCAATAAATGGATAATCATCTGCATAATAAATTCCATTTATTGAATTAAGAACATCTTCAGCAAATCCTCCTCCACATCCACCCCATGCCACAGTGTTACAATCAAGTAATTGTTGGGCAGATAATAATTTTCTTTTTGGTTTATCATTATTAGCTTGTTTAGTTAGGTAAGCATAGATTGTTGATAAGTGTTGAGCTGGTCCAACTGCATAACACCCACCACATGTATTTTGATTAATATTATTTGTTCCACAATAATTATATTCTGCTGCAGAAGTACATAATGTATAATTAGCTGGAACAGCTTGTTTAAGAGTTTGTTTTGTTGGACTTACTTTTTCCATTTTAATCATTTCTTGAATTCTTTTTGCACCCATTCTTCTATTATTTTGTATTCTACTTGATGCTGCAAGAAGTTCACTATCTTCCATATCTGCAAATTTATTAATTCCCATTCTATATGAACTTCCTTTTGCGTTGTGCTCTCTCATCGTCTCTACATTTTTTATAAAAACAGCTTTTCTTCTTAACTCTTCAGCAGCATTTAAATATTCTCTTTTATACTCTTGTTTAAATTGCTCAAATAACTTAAGTGGATCCTCACTTAAATTAAATGAACTCCCTTCACTTCCTAATACTAACAAAACTAAAACAACTCCTATCATAATTATATTTTTTTCGAGTTCTTCATTTGTCTTTTTATTTCAAAGAATTCAAAGAATTCTCATGATTCTCTTACTTTTTTTAATTCACAAAAAAAAATATAATTTCTATTTTTATGTTGTAATAAAGTTTTTTCTTTTAATTATTTTATTGACTAAATTATTATTTTTTAAATAGTATTTTCATTTTGTAACAAACTCTTAATGTAAATTATGAGATATTCGAATCTAAAAATAAAACATCTTAACGATAAATAATTTGGAATTCATTTTTTTTAATGTTTTTTTAGTATTTCTAATTTAGGGATAATATTGCGAAAAATGATCTTACATAAATTTTGAAAAGTGAGATGACTTTTCATCTCATTGGATAAGATTAAAACAATAAAAATTCAATATGAAATAAAATGAACATCAACCTAAAGTGGGCCTTGCATGAACTTATTGGAAATGGTAATTTTAATCCAGAAAAAAGGTATCTTGATAAGATTATAAAGAAATCGTTCCAAGGGAGGAGTTATATTATATTTAAAAAGATTAAAAATAAATTAAAAAGTACATACTTTGATGAAGTCTTTAAAGGATTAATTCTTTTTCATTTTCTTTGTCATAATGGAAACGGTATTATATTTTCTGAGTTTAAAGAAATTGTCATTCCAAAACATGATATAAAAAATGTTTTTAGTATTGACCCAAATTCGTATCAGTTTTGGTGTGAACATTATTCTATTTTACTCAATCATTTACTTAATTTCCATCATAAATACCCTTGTTTTGATGGTTGTTTTCATTTTCCAAGAAAGAACTCATTTCTTGTACAACTAAAAGAGAAAGATTTGATTATCAATTTATGGAACGATTGTTATATTTTATTTAATCAATGTAACCAGTATGTAATTGATATAATAAGAATGATTAAATTCAATGACCAATTATGTTTTAGTGTGGGGATTGTTGTGAGTGATATGATTGGTATTTATTTAATTCTTACAGAGTTGCATAACTTTATTACATCTGAATACACACAAGAATTAAGTAGAATTGAAGTAGAGGAAAATGGTTGCAAAAAGTGTCTTTATCAAATAAAATCAAAGTTGTCAAATCAGAGAATGGGAAAGTATTTACCCAATCAATCTATCAGTGAACTACATTTACATGAAACAAAAAATTCAGAAGATGACTTGTTATGTAATAAAACTACTTTACAAATATCTTCAATACAAAGGAAAATGATGTAATTTTGTTAATTTAAAATAAATTAAACAAATATTTTTTATTATTTACTGAAATGAGTTTTTATAACTTCAAAAAAAAGTATTAAAACAAAGAAACATATCAATTATCATCAGTAATACAAAAATTTTGACTTATCTACATAATTCTTTTGAAAACTACTTTATTTTTTAAGGGGTTTAAGATTTAATTTTAGCGTCTTGAAGAGTATTAACTTTTTTGTTAACACTCCTTTTTTAATGTTGTAGAAAAATAAAGCGTCTATAATAACTACAATACACTTATCGCCATTTTGTCTTTTAGTTTCTTTTTTTTTGTTGAGGCTCTGACTTAGTACAATTATAACAAATTTATTCAATATTCCTTAAGAGGAATGTCAATGTGTTAAACTATGTTTAGTTCTCTTTGGAATTAGTATTTTATGTTCAGTGAAAATAATTAATTGTTATACATAACAATTGAATAAAATTTTATCATGTTATTGTTTCAATAAATTGTTGCTCTTGTTGTACTAATAACAAAATAAAAAAAGATAAAAATAGAGGTTTTATTAATTTTAATAAATTAAATTAAAAAGAATTAATAAGTAAAAAGTAAAAAAAGAATTAACCCTAAATTTAGGGTTAAAAAGATGGTATAAAAAGCAAGGAAAAATCAGTTAAAATCAACAAACTTATCCTTGATTGCTGTGCCTCAAGAAACACAGTAATCTTTGCACAATGCGTCATGTGCACTGCGGCGTGTTGATGTCAAATGGGTCAACCTGGGAGTAATTTTTGTATTGCCTTTTAAGAGGCACCTCTTAACAACACTTTATTTAATTTACTTTTTCTTTACCAAAAGTCATTTGTTTTAAAAGAATTAAAAGTTAATTAAACGTTCATTGAATTGTTTTTTTGATCAATAAGAAAATGATGAAATAGAATTTTTAATGGATAATATTGAATTATTATCATTTTATTTAATTGATAAAAAATAATACTCAAAAAAAATATACAAATGAATATTTCTATTGTATTTAAAAATATTAATAATTAATTAAGACGTTTTAAATTTAATAATCATTTTACTGTATTAACACAACTACATACTTTACATTACCACGTATATTAAATGCGCAAATTGTTTAAAGATAATAGAATGTATTCAAAAGAAAAATTGGTTATTGTTAATTCTCTAGAATTTATTATCTATAAACAAATTAGTAAACACCATTTCACTCTCATTTTAATGAGTGTAACTAATAATTCAATAAATACGTTTACTTATTTATCTCTGAGATCTTTTTATACTTCTCAAATAGTATTCTTTGATAATGTGTTGTCATTACACCCTCTGTTGTGATGTTCTTGACTTCTTTCTTTCTGATTCTTATTCTTTTCAATCTTCTTATTATGCGTTGCCCTTTTCTTCTTTTTTTGAAGTGCTTTAATTGGTTTATTTTATTCTACCTTTAATCTTTTCTTTAATCACTGTTCTAATTCTTATGACCTCCTCTAGTTATTAAATCATATCTTATTAACAAATTATTTCGATTGTTAACTTTAGTTTATTACACTACTCTTTAATCTCTTTTATATTAATTGCTTTCACTTTCTTAAACACTCTTCTTTCTGCAACTCTTTAAGTGTCATTTTAAATACCGTTTATTTAATTACGACTATCTTTTTCATTTTCTAATACCTTTGTCTCTTGAGTGTGAATGTACCAATAACTACCAATCTATGGTATTGATATAATATTCATTCAGATACTTAAAATTGTCTATGTTAAGATTATAGCAATTGTTCAAGAATCTTTTTCCAAATAATTCAAAATAAACTTGAAAAAGGAAAAAAAGTAAAAAACAAAAAAATTATTTTTTTTTAAATTGCGTTATTGCTTTTTTAAGTTCTTTAAGTATTTGTTCCCACAAAGGATGATGAGCAATTGGTTCAGAAGAGATTTGTTTTTCTACATAGTTAAAACAATCACAGATAACTTTTTCATAACGAGTTTGGAGTGTAGTAGAAGACAACTCTTTGTAAAAACATTTTAAACAAAAAGAGCACAATTGATAAAATAATAGAACTCTGACAAGCTCTTGTCCTTTATTTATTGAGTGTTGGGTAGGGGGTTGTTTGATGATTTCACCTTGTTGGGTAGTATTCCAAATTTTCAAAGCATCAATTTTATTGATTTCTATACCATCAAACAATTTTGGATCAATTCCCCATTGTGTATAGTCAACACTTTGGACATTAGAAAGTCGTTTACTTTCTACAAATCCATAGTCTACTTCTTGTTCATCTCTAACGTTTTTTTCCATCTGCCTAACAACAACTTCACTATGCCAATTAATTTGGTCAATAAAT